AGTGTTTTGCATTCCGAAAATCTGATTCGACTTCGTTTCCAAGGGTTGCCATGCAAAACAAAATGGAGAGCGTCGAAGGGGTTGAGCAGGATCAAATCCATGTGCAGGTCAAACTGAATTTGGGTGCGGTTCGAAGACGAGGACGGACTGATGGTGGACCAAGTGATCCAACAGCTGAAGACGAGGTTGGCGAACTACTGTCTTGTACGGTCCGCAGGCTCCATGGCAAAGAAAGATAGATTGTGATGGAGTGTGAGAAGATTAGTCAACATGGCGAGATCAGCGAGAGCAGCAAAAATCAAAACTACATACCCCGGTACGTGGAAAAAATTTCAAATAATCGAGAGCAGCAGAAAGCAAAAACACAAACATGAAAAATACACTTTTTTGTATTCAAATATGCACTCCCAAACATGAAAGAGCCGAAAATCCATTTTCGGAAAACCATGCACTTTCGCCACCACACTTCCGAAAGTTCGACTACTTTTTCGACTGCTGCCGCCACATTCCGAAAATAATTCCGAAATTCGGAATGCAAAACCTCTCTAATGTAGGGCCCATCTTTTTCTGAATGGACTGTAGTAGATCTACTCGCACTACTAGCCGCGATTGTGAGCTTTGACAATTTCTCGCAGTCTCGTCTATAGAGTGACCGGATATAAGAATATATCGGCTACAGCAAGAGTACATAAACCAGAGTGTGCAACTCGGGATGGTTCCTGCGGGAGCGTAATTCGTGCACTACGTCATTTCTGACAGCATGGTAAGCCACAGCTACATGACACAGGTACGGTGAAAAGTTGCGTAACCAGTCGCGGTGGTGCAGGTCACTGAGTTTGTCCTGATTTCGGTTTTTTGATACGGATAGCCTGGTGACTTTACTTGTCGGTGGATGATGTACGCAGCGTACACAGTCACACAAAACACCGAAATACTGAAACTGGACGTCTAAAATCAAGCAAACTTGGCTGATTTCCGGGCTATGAAACATGAAAATTTGAGCTGTACGCAAGTCGCGGCTTGGCTGACCTCATCAGGGTGACGTAGTGCACGAACTGCGCTGTTTCAGATCTGATATGCAGAGTTGCACACTCTGGTTTATGTACTCTTGGCTACAGTGATATTGGTACGAAATATCAAAAGCAAAACGTATTTTATCCAGTAAAAATATCACTATAACCAATATTATCGGATATAATGATATGTAAATAATCGACGTGGAGACAACAATTTTATAATAGCTATAGACCAGGCAGGCACAGTGGGTTGGTCAAAGACCATGATTGAGATACGAGAGGTACCTGGTTCAAGTCCTGCCTGGGAGCGGTTTTTCCAGCCGTGCTGCTACCCACAGTCAACTGGGAACTTGTGGCCAGGCACAAGGGGTACATGGATGCAGCTAATGGGGTCGTTCTCGGCACTTGTGCCAGTGGTTGTGAGACTTACCCACTCACCCCCACCGTTAGGCGCTGCATCTGCCGCTAGGGTTTATCGGGTGTTAGCGGCCGTCGTGAGTTCCCTTCGGGAACGGATACGATAATTTACTTTTTTACTTACTTATAAAGAGAACAAATTCTGCTGTCATCGCCACACTACAACAAAGTCATGAAGGTTTACCAAAATCGATTTTCTTGTCACAATCATCAGTGGAAAGCCGTGACTGAAGAGTAACCATGCTGAATCAATGATTAATATACATTCAATAATGTGTTACGAGAACAAAACAAAGTGCTAAAATAGAATGAGGGAAGGTGAGACAATAGAAGTGAAGTGAGAGCTAAGTGCAACAGGGGTGAGGAACTAATTACAACGCTAGAACTGTGTATTGAGACAAACAATCATGCTGTGCACCTACGAAAACAATCTTTTAAGATTGTTTTCGTAAACGCAACTACATGTTTCTTCTGCTTACAAAGATCAGGCTGATCTTTGTAAGCAGAAGAAACATGTAGTTGCGTTAAGATTGTTTTCGTAGGTGCACAGCATGATTGTTTGTCTCAATACACAGTTCTAGCGTTGTAATTAGTTCCTCACCCCTGTTGCACTTAGCTCTCACTTCACTTCTATTGTCTCACCTTCCCTCATTCTATTTTAGCACTTTGTTTTGTTCTCGTAACACATTATTGAATGTATAATATTAATCATTGATTCAGCATGGTTACTCTTCAGTCACGGCTTTCCACTGATGATTGTGACAAGAAAATCGATTTTGGTAAACCTTCATGACTTTGTTGTAGTGTGGCGATGACTGCAGAATTTGTTCTCTTTATAGCTATAATGATATATTGGATATTATGATGGCAACAAAGAATCAAAACATGCATAACACACTATATTATTATCGGCTATAGTGATAACTAAAAATACATGTAGCAATAATATCAAAGGCCCTATTTTTTACTTTCTTCACGTTGCTTATTTTTATAGTGATACACACTGTTGTGAATTCCAGCAGAAATCCAAGAGAGCTCGATACCAGGAAGGTAGAGCCGTGACACACTAGTCAGAACAACATATGGCTTGATCAGTCACAACTTAAAGTTTCATGCCATCTCAGGCACTCATCAGGTGATATGAACATCAAGAAAAATAACCCACTATTTAAAGCCCAGTATGACGGGACAAGGATGATCAGCGCCTTCCTGTAGACCTTAGCAGATGGTACCGGGATATTTTTCAGTGAGTAGTCGATGTCCAGTCTTCTCAGTCCATCCATTGCTGGCTTTCCGCTAGAGAGAGAACTCAACCAGGGGCTGGGAGCAGATCCACACTGTTGTGAATTCCAGCAAAAATCCAAGAGAGCTCGATACCGGGAAGGTAGAGCCGTGACACACTAGTCAGAACAGCAGATGGCTTGATCAGTCACAACTTAAAGTTTCATGCCATCTCAGGCACTCATCAGGTGATATGAACATCAAGAAAAATGATACATGTACACTACAGAATTTTTTTATGGAAATGCGGGCACTGTCAACTACTACTAAGTTTTAGTGGTGGTTAACAAGCATAGTGACCTCCAGACTCCAGTACGCTGTAGTAATGGCGCAGCTACACTGCAAAATTGCCTTTGTTTTGCTGAGGTGGTCAATCAAGTGCCTTCATGCCACCATGGTTGCAGGGCGTCATATTTGCGGAAGAGGCATCATTTCTCGACCAATGTCGCCTTTTATCAGTGTAACCGCCTTCATTAGTCTCTCTTCATGTTCCGAACTGCTATTCTATGGAACTGTTTACCCCCCCCCCCCCCCCCCCCAGTCCAACATCGGAAGCCTCGCTCTATAAGTTCAAAGCTGCCCTCAGGAAATTTACAGCTGACCATGCTTATGCAATCAACGGAATTCCGCCACCTTGCGGTTGATTTTCCCCATTTCTCTCCTCATCAATCCCTACTTGTCTTTGTACATACATCTACATCTACTGTTCTTTCAATCAAATGAACCCCTCGATAGGCACATTGCCTTTGGGTCATTTCATAATAATAATAATAATTAGTCATATGTTGGCCTGTTCCCTATTCAATATTGGCATGTTCTACTCCACTGATAACGAACTCGTGCAAATTTCGTGATATAGCGAAGCATTGTCCATGTCCCTGTTTGAGTCTATACAAAATTGACCCTTTGTGACGAACGGTTTTCGTTTCTAACAAACAAATTCTTGTAAGGCCGCATGATAACCAAGTGCAGTCACAAACAGTCATGGACCACATATTAATCATGCCGTGTGTTTGTCTGGTATTAGTGCATTACTGTTATAACGAACTTCGGCTATACAGAACTACGTCTCCTGCACAATGATGTTCGTTATATCAGGAGTCGACCGTAGTTGAGTACTGTACCTACATGTAACACGATGTATTGTACTGTTTTGTACATTCTTGACACAATATCTTTATTCAAGCTGAACAAAATGTGAGAACAGTAAGGAAGCACTACTACTAGGCATAGGCGGGTAATGCTAGCATTATGGCTGGCATTATAGTCCCTTTTTCCAGGTGGCATAATGCTGGCATTATAACACCATTTCGCATGCAAAATTGGCATTACAAGTATAATTGCCGGTCGACAACGGTGTCATGCATGAAGCTGGCTAGGTCCAGTTCCGAAAATCGTGCATCTGAACCCGTCCGGCTTCGTCCGGAGACTTGATGTTGCAAATCAACCTTCTCAGTGGATTGTTTCAGACAACATGATCATTGGTGTTTTTAAAAGTTTTTCTTCTTCTACGCTTTGGCCTTTATCCAAGACGGCCTTCTTAAATCGACTTTTCCAACATTCAAACTGGCGTTATGGAGTAGTGTGAGCATTATAAGTGGCATTGTATCCTCATAATTATTGTGAGCATTGCCTTTAGCATTATCGCAGCAAATAACTAGCATTACCCGCCCATGCCTAACTACTGCTCGCACTAGTAGTATAGTGCTGTTTTTGGCGAGTGCATTACGTGTCTTGCCAGCTTGGTGCGATACATTCGTACTCAGGCGCGACCAGTGGATACATACCTAAGGAGCTTCGCTCGTCGAGTACTATGATGTACATGTATTCACTGGTCTTGCCTTCGTACGATCGTACTCATGTCGGAATCCATTCTTCATCAGTCCATGGACTATACATGTACATGTATAAGGCATAACTATCCGGAACTAGATTAAAAAAAAGTAAATCATCGTGTCCGTTCCCGATACGAAGGGAACTCACGACGGCCGCTAACACCCGGTGACTACATGACAATAAACTGCTTTTTTTTTCTGGCTCTAAATCCAATCAGTGGCCAATTGACCAGGACGGGTCTTGACTACAGCTGTGGCCCAGCAACACAGGCTTGCCTGGTGTCACACCCGTGGTACATGGGCGACATCAGAGGTTACTGGGCCCGTACGTCAGGATTCAAACTGGGGAGTGGGGTGGCTCTTCCAGTCTTCAGGTGGAACTTCTTGAGCGCATGTACATGTACATGGACATGTATGGTATAACCTCAAATGAATGCCCGGAATGCACGTGTTGTCCATGTTATGGTGATTGCCATACAATGTGGTACGAAATGTCCAAATAAATTCTGATGTGGTGCAACACAGCGATGCAGCTCAATAGGTACATGATGACGATGTGCAATGGGTGCTGAAAAGATTACCGTTACTTACTTGAATTTCGCAAGAGAAATACAAGAAAGATTACACCTGTACAAAATTACTACAAAATTACGAAAAAGACTATAAAATTTGGACTCGTTATTTGTGACTAAAATCGAAGCTTTGTGCAAACATGTTCCTCTGGGAACAATTCTGACAATAATAGCGAATGGGAAATGTGCTCTTGGATAGCTTTAATCTGCACACCACAATGTTGACCTGTAGTTTCACAAGTCATGTAGTAATATTCGCGGGATCCGCGTCGGCATCGCTTGAATGTCCAGAAGCACACAAACTAGCCTTCGCATCCTCAGGCCACCACTATGCCTGTTCACCTTAGTGGCGAATGCAGACCTATCATGTACATGTAGAAAACAAAATACTGTCCTCATTTATGAATTGGACCCATCCTAACCAGTGTGCCTACTTCATTTCTGACGATGGTTATTTTATGACCGAAACTTTGAATTGATTTTTTTGGAAATGAATTTGTGAAAAGCAGTGATTGAGTGTGAGCCAGTGTTGCTCAGAAGCCAATTTTTAAATACTGTGTGTTTATTGTATAGTACCATGGTCGTACAGGACATGCTCCGTGATCTAACACGCATCCGATGCAGCGGTGATGGACGTGTTTACGTACGTACTTTCATAGATTTCCGCCTCTGCCCGTTCTGGCACGTTGACATTTAGATATACTGCTGCTTTCGGCTGAACACAGCTCAGTGCTTCTCCCTGCACTACTGCAACATTGCCGCAAACATTTCCGCCATCATTGTCATCGGCATTTGGATATTCAGCGTCTTCTGGCAGCGCAGGGCTTTGTGTTTCTTCCTTCACTATCTCAACATTGCCGTAGACATTTCCAGCATCATTGTCATCGGCATTTGGATATTCAGCGTCTTCTGGCAGCGCAGGGATTTGTGTTTCTTCCTTCCCTATCTTAACATTGCCGTAGACATTTCCAGCACCATTGGCATCGGCATTTGGATTTCCAGCTTCTTCTGGTAGCGCAGGGCTGAGTTTTTCTTCCCGCACCATCTCAGCATTGCCATAGACATTTCCATCATCATTGACATCGGCATTCGGATTCACGGCTTCTTCTGGCTGGGCAGGGCTCAATGCTCCTTCCTTCACTATATCTACATTGCCGTAGACATGTCCACCATCATTGGCATCGGCATTTGGATTTACAGCTTCGTCTCGCTGAGCGGGGTCGAGTAATCCTTCCTTCACTCTGACAACATTGTCATAGCCATTTGCAGCTTCATTGAGAACAACATTCGAATATTCAGCTTCTCCTGGCAGGGCAGGGCTGTGTGTCCTTTCCTGGACCTTTGCAACATTGTCATAGCCATTTCCAGTGTCATTGACAACAATATTAGAATATTCAGCTTCTTCCGGCTGGGCTGCGGTATTGGGCTCCAGTGAGTATCTGCCCTGTTCCATGTCGCGTGCGTGATTCCTACTACGTGTCCTGACCTGCACTCTTGCAGCATTGCCCTGGCCATTTCCTACACCATCGACATCGGTACATGTATTTGAATACTCGGCTTCTTCTTCTGGCAGGGCAGGGGCGCTGGGGTCTACCGAGTACCGGTTCTCTTTCATCTCCAACCCTGCATTTTCGTACGAGCGACTTAGTGTTCCTTGCTGCACGACCGTAGTATTGTTATAAACAATCCGAACGTCTCGATTGGTACTTGCACGTGAAGCCTTCTTCCGTCGCCAGAACCAAACTGTAACCACTGCCAGAATGAAAATGATGATTGCACTGAATGCTGAAGCCAGGATTGGAACTAGCGATACCTCAGAGTCAGAGTCCGCAGTCACTACAAAGAGGAAAACATACATACATGTACATGTATGCAGACAAATTCAATTTTAAAATAAAAGTCTACACTCGTTAGTACACAACCTCGGGGGGGGGGGGGGGCAAATTGTTGTCTTAGGTATAACGAGTATTATCTACAATCCGGACTTGCATGTACGACTGTCGAATGGGTTTCAAGCGTCTGGGGATTTTTGGATCGTTGTCTACTAATGAGGTTTGTGATGTAACCAATGTCTATTGATTGCATTGTATTGTACTTGAATAAAATTCTATTCTAACTTTCATGGTATTTCAATTTTTGTCACGTCTACATGACTTTATTTTGCCCGTAAAAGAGGCCGTTACCCCGTAAAAAAAAGGTCTATTGATTGATTTGACTATTGATGGACTTTTCTTGTGCTCTCGTCTCGATGGTATAAGTAGTCGTGATTTAGTAAAAAATAAAAAATAAATTATCGTGTCCGTTCCCGAAGTGAACTCACGACGGCCGCAAACATCCGGTAAACCCTAGCGCTCGGCAGATGCAGCGCCTAACGATGGGGGTGAGCGGATAAGTGTCACAACCACTGGCTCAAGTGCGGAGAAACCCCATTAGCTGCATGCATGCATGTACCCCATTTTGTTTGTTTGTTTAGCGTTATTTTACTTCACCAGAAGCAGCAGGCAAAATCTGCCTTCTCACTGGGCGTATTGCCACAGTTCTCAAGTGCCTGGCCACAAGTTCCCAGTTGACTGTGGGTTGCAGCACGGCTGGAAAAACCGCTCCCAGGCAGGACTTGAACCAGGTACCTCTCGTATCTCCATCATGGTCTTCGACCAACCCACTGTGCCTGCCTGACTGTGCCTGCGTGATTTAGCAAAGTGTCAAGTAAAGTTGTCGAACTTCCACGGGTAGGAAGCAACGCACAATTCCAGCATCAACATGGTGCAAAATGTCTGATTCATAATTTCATCAGACTTTTCCCTTTTCCATTCCCTCAAGCATTGAATATTGCATAGTATTTCTTAAACGTTTTCAAACATACTTTGTACTCCAACTCTACACGTCCACTTTTCACAACTCACAGTGTTCGCATTGAGCACCCAGTGACCTTCCCACGCATGTACATGCTCCTGTCACATGATCACACACAGCATCATTCTTGCACAGGCATGCCTGGGAACAGCCGTCACCATAGGAACCCGTCGGACACGTCATGTTGCAAATATCGCCATGCCAACCAGGCTGGCAGGAACACGAGCCGTCGATAGCGGAGCAATTAGCTTTGTTCATACACTGGCAGACCTCCATACAGCCTGTACCGTAGGTTCCAGGTATACAGGTGTCTTGACATGCTGTTCCATTGAATCCCGGTGGACAACTGTGCAGTGAAGCAACATAATTGGTAATTACACACACATGCATGCTCCTACATGTAGATCAAAATAATGTAGTACGTTGGGTAGGACTTTGTGTGTGTGTGTGTGTGTGTGTGGTGGTAGTGTGTGTGTGTGTGTGTGTGTGTGTGTGTGTGTGTGTGTGTGTGTGTGTGTGTGTGTGTGTGTGTGTGTGTGTGTGTGTGTGTATAATCTTGTGTAATCATGGTGCTAGTGAAGCTTGTATCAGATCCACTCTGATTTAGCCACCCACACTAGTAGCAAGCAATACCATCACTGGGGGCAGGGGTAACTGCAGTTGGATCCCGGGACGGATACCCTGATGCCGTCAATACTTTTTCTGCACCTTGTCCTCACCCACTTACTGAGGTGTGGTGAGGCCATAAGTGGGATCATTTTCAAGTCCAAACGGAGTTTTTGGGGATTTCAGGGGTGTCGGCCGTTGGGCGGTTCAATAGCCAATTGAGTCATCTTTCCAATATTCCTTTTGAGTCTCTCTCTCTCCCCTCTCCCGGGGAGACCCACGTGACCAGTTTTGGCAGTGAGCAACAAGTACAAGTAGGCCTTGACGGATTATGCTAATATTTTCGTGAAATTATGCTTTTCGCATTGCTGGAAAAATTGCAGAATTATGCTTTTTTTTATGCTAAAAGTTATCATATTATGCCGCATTATGCTCACATAATATGCTGCTAATGCATAATGGTTCTGTGCAAAATATTGGGGAATTTTTTTGTAGAGGGCGTTGACTGTAGTAGCAAAAGTTGAACGGGGTCAACGCACCATCCGACCTACATGTAGCTACGACCATCACTGATTGTAGTGGACTGGAAATGTTATCAAGGGAGTCGTAAACCTACAACTTCCTAGTGCATCTACTTGTACTTGTAGAACATGTACAACTGTATGGAATTTGATGCGAACAGGCGGATTATTGCAATTTTATGCGATTCGTATGCAATTTGCCTCGAATTATGCGATTATTCGATTTTGGTAGGAATTATGCGAAAAATTATGCTAGCATAATCCGTCAAGGCCTAAGTACAAGTGTGTGTGTGTGTGTGTGTGTGTGTGTGTGTGTGTGTGTGTGTGTGTGTGTGTGTGTGTGTGTGTGTGTGTGTGTGTGTGTGTGTGTGTGTGTGTGTGTGTGTGTGTGTGTGTGTGTGTGTGTGTGTGTGTGTGTGTGTGTGTGTGTGTGTGTGTGTGTGTGTGTGTGTGTGTGTGTGTGTGTGTGTGTGTGTGTGTGTGTGTGTGTGTGTGTGTGTGTGTGTGTGTGTGTGTGTGTGTGTGTGTGTGTGTGTGTGTGTGTGTGTGTGTGTGTGTGTGTGTGTGTGTGTGTGTGTGTGTGTGTGTGTGTGTGTGTGTGTGTGTGTGTGTGTGTGTGTGTGTGTGTGTGTGTGTGTGTGTGTGTGTGTGTGTGTGTGTGTGTGTGTGTGTGTGTGTGTGTGTGTGTGTGTGTGTGTGTGTGTGTGTGTGTGTGTGTGTGTGTGTGTGTGTGTGTGTGTGTGTGTGTGTGTGTGTGTGTGTGTGTGTGTGTGTGTGTGTGTGTGTGTGTGTGTGTGTGTGTGTGTGTGTGTGTGTGTGTGTGTGTGTGTGTGTGTGTGTGTGTGTGTGTGTGTGTGTGTGTGTGTGTGTGTGTGTGTGTGTGTGTGTGTGTGTGTGTGTGTGTGTGTGTGTGTGTGTGTGTGTGTGTGTGTGTGTGTGTGTGTGTGTGTGTGTGTGTGTGTGTGTGTGTGTGTGTGTGTGTGTGTGTGTGTGTGTGTGTGTGTGTGTGTGTGTGTGTGTGTGTGTGTGTGTGTGTGTGTGTGTGTGTGTGTGTGTGTGTGTGTGTGTGTGTGTGTGTGTGTGTGTGTGTGTGTGTGTGTGTGTGTGTGTGTGTGTGTGTGTGTGTGTGTGTGTGTGTGTGTGTGTGTGTGTGTGTGTGTGTGTGTGTGTGTGTGTGTGTGTGTGTGTGTGTGTGTGTGTGTGTGTGTGTGTGTGTGTGTGTGTGTGTGTGTGTGTGTGTGTGTGTGTGTGTGTGTGTGTGTGTGTGTGTGTGTGTGTGTGTGTGTGTGTGTGTGTGTGTGTGTGTGTGTGTGTGTGTGTGTGTGTGTGTGTGTGTGTGTGTGTGTGTGTGTGTGTGTGTGTGTGTGTGTGTGTGTGTGTGTGTGTGTGTGTGTGTGTGTGTGTGTGTGTGTGTGTGTGTGTGTGTGTGTGTGTGTGTGTGTGTGTGTGTGTGTGTGTGTGTGTGTGTGTGTGTGTGTGTGTGTGTGTGTGTGTGTGTGTGTGTGTGTGTGTGTGTGTGTGTGTGTGTGTGTGTGTGTGTGTGTGTGTGTGTGTGTGTGTGTGTGTGTGTGTGTGTGTGTGTGTGTGTGTGTGTGTGTGTGTGTGTGTGTGTGTGTGTGTGTGTGTGTGTGTGTGTGTGTGTGTGTGTGTGTGTGTGTGTGTGTGTGTGTGTGTGTGTGTGTGTGTGTGTGTGTGTGTGTGTGTGTGTGTGTGTGTGTGTGTGTGTGTGTGTGTGTGTGTGTGTGTGTGTGTGTGTGTGTGTGTGTGTGTGTGTGTGTGTGTGTGTGTGTGTGTGTGTGTGTGTGTGTGTGTGTGTGTGTGTGTGTGTGTGTGTGTGTGTGTGTGTGTGTGTGTGTGTGTGTGTGTGTGTGTGTGTGTGTGTGTGTGTGTGTGTGTGTGTGTGTGTGTGTGTGTGTGTGTGTGTGTGTGTGTGTGTGTGTGTGTGTGTGTGTGTGTGTGTGTGTGTGTGTGTGTGTGTGTGTGTGTGTGTGTGTGTGTGTGTGTGTGTGTGTGTGTGTGTGTGTGTGTGTGTGTGTGTGTGTGTGTGTGTGTGTGTGTGTGTGTGTGTGTGTGTGTGTGTGTGTGTGTGTGTGTGTGTGTGTGTGTGTGTGTGTGTGTGTGTGTGTGTGTGTGTGTGTGTGTGTGTGTGTGTGTGTGTGTGTGTGTGTGTGTGTGTGTGTGTGTGTGTGTGTGTGTGTGTGTGTGTGTGTGTGTGTGTGTGTGTGTGTGTGTGTGTGTGTGTGTGTGTGTGTGTGTGTGTGTGTGTGTGTGTGTGTGTGTGTGTGTGTGTGTGTGTGTGTGTGTGTGTGTGTGTGTGTGTGTGTGTGTGTGTGTGTGTGTGTGTGTGTGTGTGTGTGTGTGTGTGTGTGTGTGTGTGTGTGTGTGTGTGTGTGTGTGTGTGTGTGTGTGTGTGTGTGTGTGTGTGTGTGTGTGTGTGTGTGTGTGTGTGTGTGTGTGTGTGTGTGTGTGTGTGTGTGTGTGTGTGTGTGTGTGTGTGTGTGTGTGTGTGTGTGTGTGTGTGTGTGTGTGTGTGTGTGTGTGTGTGTGTGTGTGTGTGTGTGTGTGTGTGTGTGTGTGTGTGTGTGTGTGTGTGTGTGTGTGTGTGTGTGTGTGTGTGTGTGTGTGTGTGTGTGTGTGTGTGTGTGTGTGTGTGTGTGTGTGTGTGTGTGTGTGTGTGTGTGTGTGTGTGTGTGTGTGTGTGTGTGTGTGTGTGTGTGTGTGTGTGTGTGTGTGTGTGTGTGTGTGTGTGTGTGTGTGTGTGTGTGTGTGTGTGTGTGTGTGTGTGTGTGTGTGTGTGTGTGTGTGTGTGTGTGTGTGTGTGTGTGTGTGTGTGTGTGTGTGTGTGTGTGTGTGTGTGTGTGTGTGTGTGTGTGTGTGTGTGTGTGTGTGTGTGTGTGTGTGTGTGTGTGTGTGTGTGTGTGTGTGTGTGTGTGTGTGTGTGTGTGTGTGTGTGTGTGTGTGTGTGTGTGTGTGTGTGTGTGTGTGTGTGTGTGTGTGTGTGTGTGTGTGTGTGTGTGTGTGTGTGTGTGTGTGTGTGTGTGTGTGTGTGTGTGTGTGTGTGTGTGTGTGTGTGTGTGTGTGTGTGTGTGTGTGTGTGTGTGTGTGTGTGTGTGTGTGTGTGTGTGTGTGTGTGTGTGTGTGTGTGTGTGTGTGTGTGTGTGTGTGTGTGTGTGTGTGTGTGTGTGTGTGTGTGTGTGTGTGTGTGTGTGTGTGTGTGTGTGTGTGTGTGTGTGTGTGTGTGTGTGTGTGTGTGTGTGTGTGTGTGTGTGTGTGTGTGTGTGTGTGTGTGTGTGTGTGTGTGTGTGTGTGTGTGTGTGTGTGTGTGTGTGTGTGTGTGTGTGTGTGTGTGTGTGTGTGTGTGTGTGTGTGTGTGTGTGTGTGTGTGTGTGTGTGTGTGTGTGTGTGTGTGTGTGTGTGTGTGTGTGTGTGTGTGTGTGTGTGTGTGTGTGTGTGTGTGTGTGTGTGTGTGTGTGTGTGTGTGTGTGTGTGTGTGTGTGTGTGTGTGTGTGTGTGTGTGTGTGTGTGTGTGTGTGTGTGTGTGTGTGTGTGTGTGTGTGTGTGTGTGTGTGTGTGTGTGTGTGTGTGTGTGTGTGTGTGTGTGTGTGTGTGTGTGTGTGTGTGTGTGTGTGTGTGTGTGTGTGTGTGTGTGTGTGTGTGTGTGTGTGTGTGTGTGTGTGTGTGTGTGTGTGTGTGTGTGTGTGTGTGTGTGTGTGTGTGTGTGTGTGTGTGTGTGTGTGTGTGTGTGTGTGTGTGTGTGTGTGTGTGTGTGTGTGTGTGTGTGTGTGTGTGTGTGTGTGTGTGTGTGTGTGTGTGTGTGTGTGTGTGTGTGTGTGTGTGTGTGTGTGTGTGTGTGTGTGTGTGTGTGTGTGTGTGTGTGTGTGTGTGTGTGTGTGTGTGTGTGTGTGTGTGTGTGTGTGTGTGTGTGTGTGTGTGTGTGTGTGTGTGTGTGTGTGTGTGTGTGTGTGTGTGTGTGTGTGTGTGTGTGCGTGTATCTGGTCTGGAGAAGAACGGTTGCACTTTTTGGTGCTCCTGTTTCTTGAGTTTGCCACAGGACGCAGTCCATCTCCGTGTGGTGTAGACCAGGAGATGGCTGTAGTGGCGCTCTACAGCAGGCTTGCCCCCTGCTGAGAGCTGTTTGTTGAACACACACGGCACGAGTTGGCTTCTTCACGCTGAGAAATTCGAAAATTCAAAATTTGTTTATGGCGAGAGCGAAGAAGAATGTTGAGAGACGAAAGGTGTTTGTGGCCTCCTGGAACGTCAGGACACTCCTCGAGTCCAGCGGAGACGTCAGAGTATGCAGGAAGCGAGTTGGAGAGTGTTCGGTTGATAGAAAGTTGGATTTGCTTGTCTCGGAATTTGAAAGGTATCGCGTTGGAATTGCTGGCGTGCAGGAGACGAAATGGTTCGGGTCTGATGTGTGGCCTGCCTGTGGAGGAACATTCGTTCACTCGGGGCGTCCAGTGCCTGTTGACGACGAGAGTGGACAGCGGGGTGAGGGCGTTGGAATTTATTTCAATAACGAGATGACGAGGGCCTGGAAACGCGCGGGCGAGACTTGGTCGGCAGTAAGTTCAAGAATTGTCAGCGCTCGCTTTCATCTATCAGCTGGTGACGGGTCGTTGCCCACTGGTTTTCATCGTGCCAGGGCAGAGTCGTATCTCACTGTCGTGAACGTGTACGCTCCGACATCGAAAGCACCTCCACACATCAAGAACAAATTCATGGACGATCTGCAGCTTGTTATCGACGCAGTGCCTCGTACTGACCGACTGGTGATTTTGGGCGACTTCAATGCGCGAGTGGGTGTCAATTCCTCTTGTGACAAGTCGTTGAGTGACGTAGTTGGCCCACATGCAACGCTGCTGGGGAGGATCTTCTAGTATTTTGTAATGTAAACCGTCTCTCTGTTATGAACACCTGGTTCAGGAAGAAGTTTTATGGCACATGGATGCACCCAGCTACGAAGGAGGTACACCTGATTGACTATGTTGTTGTCCGTGCGGATCAGAGGAGTGAGTGGCATGATGTGCAGGTGATGCGTGGTGCGAACTGCTGGTCGGATCACTCCATGGTGCGTGGCAAGTTTAGTTTTGAGGTCGGTCACAAGAAGTTTTATCCCGTGGCATCTGCAAGATCCCGTCCAATTGCTGTTGCTAGGCTGAGGGATGACAAAGTGAGTAAGGCGTTTTCAGAGAAAGTGTCTGACCTCCTGCCTGCTGAGGCTGTGGACGTGGATGGTGGTGTGGACACAGAGCAGGAGTGGGCGGCAATGCGCAAATGCGTGGTGGCGGCTTCCAGCGAGGTGTTGGGATACGAGACACGACGACAGCCGGACTGGTTCCGTGACAGCGCAGATACCCTCAGGCCTCTGATTGAGCGGAAGAATGCAGCACACCAGGAGTTCCTTCAGAAGGACACTCGTGATAGCAAGCTGGTGTTTCGTACGCAGCAGAGGGCGGTGCAGCGTGCCGTGAATGCTGCAAGCACACCAGGAGTTCCTTCAGAAGGACACTCGTGATAGCAAGCTGGTGTTTCGTACGCAGCAGAGGGCGGTGCAGCGTGCCGTGAATGCTGCAAAGGAAGCGTGGATCGAGCGGGTCGCCACCCATGCTGACAACTTGGATTGCCATAGCAGGATGCGGTGGGAGTGTGTCCGCCAATTACAGGAAGTGAATGTTGGCCGTAAGCCAGCACGTCCCTTGTCTGTGCTGGACGAGAATGGTAACCTTACGACCGACCCTGCTGCAACTTGTGACCGCTGGCAGCGGCATTTTGATGGTGTCCTCAACATCACAAGTCAGTTTTCCGACAGTTCGCTGGAGTCCCTGGAACGCCGTCCTACCCGCCATGAGTTAGATAACCCGCCCACGCACCAAGAAATTAGCCGTGCTCTCAAGAAGCTGAGCCTCGGTAAAGCTGGTGGTGAATCGGGCATATTGCCGGATATGCTAGTCCATGCTGGAGCAGACTTTCTTGCTGCTTTCCACCAACTCTTGGGTGACATCTGGGCCAAGGGTTCAGTAGTGGATGATTGGCGGAATGCGGTGGTGGTCCCTGTCCCCAAGAAAGGTGACCTTCGCTGCTGCGATAACTGGAGGGGCATCAGCTTACTGGATGTCGCTGGAAAGGTGTTTGCCCGGGTTATGCAGGACCGTTTGCAGGTGGTGGCTGAGGAAATTCTCCCGGATTCTCAGTGCGGTTTTCGGCGAGGTCGAGGTTGCACGGACATGATCTTCTGTGCACGTCAACTAGTGGAGAAGACTATTGAGCACGATACGTCTCTTTACGTCTTGTTTGTAGATCTTCAGAAGGCGTACGACTCCATCCCCCGTACAGCGCTCTGGAGTGTGCTGGATAGGCTGGGTGTTCCGCCGGTTATGTTGGGACTCATCAAGTCTCTTCATGAGGGTATGATTGCGAAGGTGCGAGTCAACGGTAAGCTTTCCGACAACATCTCTGTGACTAATGGGCTGCGTCAAGGATGTACCCTAGCACCCACCCTCTTCAACCTGTATTTCAGTGTGGTGGTTGCGGACTGGCGCGCACGTTGTCCAGACGCTGGAGTTGACCTGCTGTTCAGAAACGGTCGCAAGCTGGTTGGGGACCGCACGGCGAAGTCCCGGTTATCCGCGACGAGGGTGACTGAGTCCCAGTTCGCCGATGATGCAGCGTTGTATGCAACCACCAGAGAGAGATTTGAGTGCATGACGTCCGAGTTCATTTGGGTGCACAGCGATGGGGACTGACCGTCAGCATTAGGAAGACGAAGGGCATGGCGGTGGGTCAACCAACATCAGTTGATCCCGTTCAACTCGGTGGTGATAGCAGGATTGACATGGTGGACGGGTTCCGGTACCTTGGCAGCGTGCTCTCTGCTGACGGAACGGTGGATGCGGACCTCGCTGCTCGTTTGGCGCAGGCGTCCCGGCTGTTCGGCGTGCTCAGGTCTCCGATATTTCAGTGCGTACATCTCTCGGTCCACACCAAGCGGCTGGTGTATCGTGCTATCGTCCTTCCTGCTCTTCTCTACGGTGCGGAGACATGGCCCATCAAAGCGGGTCATATTCGCCGACTCAACACCTTTCACCATCAGTGTATTCGAACAATTCTCGGTATCTCTCGTCGTGAGCAATGGGAGGAGAGATTGTCGTCAGCATCGCTGAGTGAGCTGGCAGGGGTGGACGTCGACATGGCCGATGTGATCAGGAAGCACCGCTTGCGGTGGCTTGGTCATGTTGCACGGATGAAGGAGACCCGGCTGCCCAAGCAGATGCTGTTCGGCGAACTGCCCTGCAAACGCCCGCAACATGGTCCCAAGAAGCGCTGGCGGGATGTTGTGTCCTCGGACTTTGCTGTCATCGGTTTACCTGAAGCGGACTGGTATGACACAGCGCAGGAGAGATCCACCTGGTTTCAGTGTTGTCGACAGAGGGTCGAGAAGGAAGCCCCAGACATCCCGTGCCCCAACTACCGCTGTGACAGAGTGTTCCGTCGTCCTGGTGACCTCAAGCGGCATGCGCCATACTGCAGATTTCGAGTTTAGAGCCTCAGCGTGAGGAAGCCATCGCTATCATTGCTATCATTGCTACGGCAATGGGCGTTCAAGGTGTGTGTGTGTGCGTGTCTGGGTGGTTACCAACAGCCAGTGTATGCCGGAGTATGTGGTGTGGTGTGTGTGTAAAAAAAATGGAAAAATTGAAATGAAAAATAGGGATTCACTGGCCAGAAAAAGTCACTTCAAACAGCTGTGTGGTGGATACCAGGCTAAAAATAGTGGCGGTCAATTCATCAGCCTTGCAAGCTGTTGAATGGTGTAATCCCAGCACAAGATGCTATGTCTAACATAGCTGTTCGCTATCATCGCTTCCGCGATGGGCATGTCTGAGGTCTGAGGTCTGAGGTGTGCGTGTCTGTGTGTGTGTGTATGTGTGTGTGTGTGTATGTGTGTGTGTGTGTGTGTGTGTGTGTGTGTGTGTGTGTGTGTGTGTGTGTGTGTGTGTGTGTGTGTGCGGTGTACGCACTGGTACCTTGAAGTGAAATTGGAGTTACTTTACCAACCAGCCTCGGCTACTGAGTACTGGGAACCCAGAGCCAACAGACATACATGTACCAACAATCTCAGCCATGAAAGCTATTATAGTAACGACACACTGGATTGTGGAGCCGAAACTAGTCCAACTTCCAAATGCTTTGGCAAGAAGGTAGCCTTCCAACAGGCCAATTTCACTTCAAGGTACCAGTGCATCTAGTGTCTGCTTCTATCAAAGCAGCGCGCTGTCTATACTGGTTACCCCAGCAATCCACTATTGAATACGCCAGCAACTCGTATGCTCACTGTCTGACACCATCTTTATACTCTCGACTTGTTTCTTGTTAAAGTCATATCACTGCATGAAAAAGGTTTTTGGTCTCCCTCGCCGTACCCCGACTGTCTTTGTTTTGCGGCACGCTAAGTTATACTCCCTCGAATCTCGTCTCAACTTGAGGCTTTATATTTTTGTTTTCCGCTGTATTCATAAGCTTACAAGTCCTCTTCTTTCCTCAATGTTCACCCTCCAGTCGGCTGCTACTTGCACCGAGAGGCGCACTAGAGGGCAATCATTCTCTTCACTTTCTTTGCCCGCTGCTACAGCTAGATATAGTACTATGATTGTACAGTCAACTTCGCTAATAACGACTGCGGATATAACGACAATTCGCGAATAACGACATAATTTCCATGCCCAGAGCAAAGTCCCATCACACTGTAATTGCCCAGAGCAAAGTCCCATCACACTGTAATACATATAATGAGACTTCGGGTATAACGACACTTTTCGAATAAGGACACTTTTTGATGCCCCGCCGAGTGTCGTTATAAGCGAAGTGGACTGTACTTACATGCATTCACCAATGGACTCATGGCAAGTTCCGCCGTTCAAGCAAATGTGCGGGCAGGTTGTCAAGCAGTCAAACTGTCCGTTTAGATGGCGTGCACATGGCTGAGTGCACAACGAACCCTTCCAACCAACGCTGCAGTTGCACGAACCGTCGATAGGACTGCATGTGGAGTTTGCAGAGCACTGACATGCCTGGGAGCATTGGCTACCATACTGATCGGAGGGACATGAGTTTTCACAGCTAGTGAACATGAACAAAAATAGAGACACGGAATTCAGTATTAGGATGGAGAGCGAAGGATAAATTTAAAAAAGTAAAGAAAAAAGGACCAAGAAACTGCAAGTTAAGATTGTTTACTAACTTGTGGTGTTAGTGGACATTATAGCGTAACTTGCAGTGTCTTGGTCCCTTTTTTCTCACTATAAATTCAGTATTTTTAAAAATCTGAAAAGCGCAGCACCAAGCTCAGAGGGGATGGACTAGCAGAATGCGCGAGCGCGTTAGTCAAATAGGGGTTGAAAAATATTCGTGATTATGTTGGCATCTCAAGAAAATCGCCTTTGGATCATCTATAAGTTATATTGCCAAAAAGATGAATTCCCGAGTTGAATGAATTTTGGCTTCATCTCACCAAACATCATAACAGTAACATCATGCAGCGATTTATAGGAGAACATGGTACGAATGACATTCTCACACCTCACAGAGGTGATTACGTTCTGCAACTTCCAAGTTTGAAGGCATGGCAGACTCGCCATGATGATCTTATACTTACAGTGTTCCAATATAACCAGGTGCACACGTGCAGCTACCATTGACAAAATCACATGTAGCATTGTTCTGACAGAGGCACTGGGATGCACAGCCTGCGCCGTACATACCGGGCAAACATCTCTTATCACACAGTGATCCCTGTAGCATTCAAAACCAACAGATATGTTTAGCTATTATTAGCAGGAGAGGAATATTATCTTGGTACAGCGAAGTTCATCAGAGAAGACTAGCTGTAACCTCATGCAAAACTCTTCCACTTGCAGGCACACAATTCGGCGAGTTTACAAATACATCAAATTGAAGGAAATGGAAGAAAGTACTTTGCTGAGCCACATCTAAGGGCGGTCTCCGTACACCCGTGTGACGCTGCTTCATGACGAAGCCAAGCGCTTGACCTCTTTGTGGCAAAGAGAGCAGACTTGGCAGCACACCGTTCCCTTACTGCGTACTGCAATGGGTGGGAAAGTGTCTCTAGCCTGCCAGGTTGTGTCTGCTCATGAAAACATGATTGAGTTGGCCATACATGAATGGCGTGAGCAGCGGAGTGGACTGGCTATGCATGGCACTGATTGATAGGCATATGCGGATAATTTCGGGCAGAAAAATTGGCAGAATTCGGTACTTTTCCTGGTAAGTTTCATGCATGTTTGGTATGTGGATAAAGAAGTGAAGCAGAATTCGAGGAATTGCCCGCAATACGGTTTGTATGGTTCTGCCAATTTCACTGCTTTTCGAGCAGAATCTGCCACCTTTTCGAGCATTATCCGCCAATGCCTACTGATTGATACTGATGCTGTTAAACTGTTTCGACGTTTGTCTCTCACTTACTAGGTATCCTGTGGTACAGGTGCAGTTCCCATCCACTGGACTGCAGGCTGCACCGTTCTGACAGGCGCAAGACAAAGCGCAGTTTTGACCGTAATGTCCACTGGCACACAGTGAGTCACAACTACACAGGAAACAGAGAATACAACAGAGGTATGAAAATTGAAAAGAGATTTGGTGTGAAGAAGACAAACTCGCACACCTAACACCAAAAGCAACTGAGAATCTCCAAGAGGCTTTAGGATTCCCATTATTATTCTTTGGAATTCCTTCAGTGGTGATATCAGCAAGGGAAGAAATACAATCATTTCATCCAGCTTTCTATGCACTCAGACCAGTGACATAGTAACACCACATTAATTCTCTTTCTTCCCTCCTTCATCTTTCCTTCCAAAGGAGAGCCCCTGGATAGGCTCC